GTAAATTGTATTTGTTGCGAAAAAAGATAAGGACAAAATTGTGTTTGTTACCGAAATTTCTGGAGTCGAAGTGGCTCCCTGTTTGTTACCGAAAATTTCTGGAGTCGAAGTGACTCCCTCCGTAACCTCAGTGGAGTCATCTGAACAATTTTGGCGTAAAATACGCCAAATTTGGCATATTTGCGAACCCTGACAAAAGTACATGTACATACCAATGATTCTCCTGGCACAGGCTGTTTTGCAAGCATAAGCCAAAATAAACAACTCCATCAAAGCATCATTAACATTAAGATTTTCCCTAAATGGAAAAAAAACCAAGATAAGTAACTTGTCAGAAATACATAAAGAAGTAAAGGAGTAGTTGAGCTGCTGGTAATGATGGGAATCGGCTGAGATTTTATCATCGATCATTGGAAATAATTGGATTGACCCAACTGATTGATCATTGATTATAACAGGAAAATCAATTGATCAATAAAAATCTATTGATAAAAAACTCAGCCACCATGTTTGTTGTGGATAACATGAAAACGAGACAACAAGGAGAGGACCCTGGGAACCAATATGAGTTTCACTTCAATGATCGCAAGCTCTTTATATCTGTTTTGCTTTCATCTACTCTTGTAACCTTTCTGATCGCAGTAAGTAGATCTAAAAATGTATTTTACGGCCAGCCACTAATTTTGAAAATTTCTAAGAGAACCATCAAGGTAAGTTGAAAAATAAAATGTGAACAAAATAAAAAATGAAAACCCTAGCCTGGCATGAGCGTGTTTCACCAAGTTTTGAAAACATTACAAATGTATGAAATGTTGGAGAAAGAGGTATTCAGTGGAAGCTGTTGTTACAAGTCCATTAAAATGTGCATACAACACACAATTTTTTTTATGCATATTTATTTGTCTTCTAATAAAATTTTATGCAACAATCTAGTCTTTACGGTAGTTTATGAGTACAGTAATGTGGAAAGAGGCTAGGAACATGGAATCGAGGGTACTGATTTGAATTTTGAATTCAAGATGGCGTCTTTAGGTAATGTCGTATTTTTTTATTGTTGTATAATGGATCTTGCGCTCTTGATCTCGTTGACACACAAAACTTTTTCATCAGCCCTCCTCCTCCCCATTTCTGCCTCTTCCTTGTTCTATGGTTTGTATTTTTTCAGGCAGTTGATTGCCCTCACCTTCCCTGGCAATACCTGTTTAATGAAAGTTTGAGTTTGTATTTATATTGGATTTTCAGAGTTTAATAAACCGACTATGTGCAAAATTTCACATAGCCATTTTTCTCCATCATGTTGTTTGTATTGCCTTTTCGAACAGAGCACAGCTCATATTTCATTCTGATTAAGGTTTGCCATTTTGTGGGTAGATTGACACACAAATGTTTTTATTTGTCCTAAAAAAATTTTTTTCATTTGTCCGCGATAATTGATTGTCGTCATCCATAATCGATTGTCGTATCCCCTAAAGATTTTCGATCAATGATAGATTATAATCAATGATCACCACACCACTAGCTGCTGGCCAACCTCCTCCTTCATCAGAACATCAGTGATCAACTCACAATCATCTATGATCAAAAGCTGCATGATTGAACCTGCATAAAATTATTGCAAACATAACAGAATCTATATGTATTTGTTTAGTGTTTGCCTTTTGTTTAACATGCGCATTCATGTACACCTCCAAAAATATTAAGACCTAACAACAACAAGCACAGAGAATTACTTTCAATCAATCTCAATCAATCAGTCAATCAATCAATCAACCAAATTCCTTACCCAAGACCTGACTGTATTATGTACACATCCTTGCCTCGCACTGATATTCCCACCTTCACTTTGGTTTCTGAATGGTAAGGGAGCAGAGCAAATTATTAAGACTGTGAATGTGTTTCACACAAAATCAACCTTTTTATCTGCCATGGACGAACCCTTCAAAATCTTGACTCTCCCTGTTATTTAAGAAAGTTTTACAACTCAATTGTAAAATGCAGTTAATTGAGTGTGATGCCCTCAATAACCAACATGTAACATAGCGTTAGGCTATAGCCCTTATCAAATCTTGTAGAATTTTACTCGTAATGGGTAAAAGTACTGGATAGTACGTAAAATCACTTTCATAGCTGGGAAATTACTGATACAATAGCAATCCTTGTTTTTTTTGCAGTTGGGGCTAGTTTCTAATGTATCGCTTGTTTTGTAAGGCTAGTAAAAATAATTTTCCTCATGCATATTTCGTGGAGCACTTTGGGTGCACTTTCTATTCAGTAGTACTGACAGTATTTTTCATTGGCTTACCCTGGGATAGCACTCGGACTATAAAAGGCCTAGTAAAAGTCCTGTGTCTCATTCTGAGCTGTATTGCTAAAGTTTTGTAATTCCCATCCTTCCCTCCCTTTGGAGGCTTTGTTTTTGTTCCCAATAAACACAGGCTCACCGCTGTCTTTCGCCTTCCCTTCAAGTCTCACAGTGACTTCCCCAAGCTTTGATTTTAACACAAACTTTTATATTATTTTGATTGTATTCCAGCACATGCCGGTGGAGGCAGCTCGTAGTGTTGATAAGATAAAGTTCCTCGCACAGAATATTTGCCTACACCGATCCATTAAGTTGCACAATGCTGGCCGGAGGTTTCAGCTTGGACCTGAACTTGTCTGATTCGGCCTGCATAAATTAGAGCCAGGGGGATAGGTAGGGCTTTATGGTTACACTATGGAAGTCGTCCACCATGCCGATCATGGAGCGATGTTCGCCCCATTACACCATATGTTTTGTTGTCTTGCTTTGTTAGACTTTGATTTTTAAAGCCTACCTAAAGAAACTGCAACAATAACAGTGTTTTGCACTATATTTTCTACAAGCTGAAAATCAGCCAGTTTGTACCAAAAGGCCTTATTGACAGATCTCAATGATGCTGATAATTTCTAATACTGACCTTATTCTCCACTGGCTCAATAAATTCCAAGCATGCCCCTCCCCAAACCCCCACCTGGGCATTTTTTATTTTTTCTCCAGAATGCTACAAATGCAACACAAAGGGGCAGCAGGTTCAAACACAAAACTTTACTGTAGGCCTTGAAAATTTGAGCAAATGACATACTGTGGAGATGAAACAAAAGGTACATGTACATTCCCTTGAATAAAGCTTAAAACCAAAAATGTATGCAGTGTGCAAATGTAAATGGATAAGACATTTAGAATATGCATATTTCTCTTTCTTTCTTACTCATTTGGAAATTGAAATGATGCAAAAAATGTAAATACGTTCATACATCCCCTTAGTTTCCTCAAAAATCATACCTGATTCCCGGGAGGGTACTTGGGTTAATTTTTGCTGGGTATGTGCCGCTGGCCTCTCAGAGCCCCTACCCCATTATAGTCTATTATGTGGCCAATTATAGACCCCATCTTAGTCACTTTTGGGCAAATATATAATTTTCAAACTCCCAACTTAGTCACTTTCTATTTTTATGAATTGACCCATTTTTTAGATGGAATGAAGAACACTTTACTTTTCGTCTACAGTACAAACATTTTGGTACATTTGCTAACCGTAAATATGAAGAACTGTCTTATCCCAAAAAATCAGAAAATGTGCGACCGCATTCTAGTCAATCCAGTCATGAAAATGCGACCCCATCCAGCCACATATCCCCATTAGCCTGTTATAAGGAAGTACCGCCCACCCCCCGGGACCTGATTCCAGACCAAAAAGGGCAAAATCTATACCCGTTTTCAGACCAATAAGGTGCAAAAACCGTACCCGTTGGGGCGGAACATACCTATATGGCTTATATAAGGGAGTACCCCCACCATCCCCTTCCCCCCCCCCCCCCCCACCCCCCCCCCCCCCCCACGGCGACTTATCCACCCTTTTTTTTCCCCGGCAACCAAAAAAAACCAAACCCCCCTCTCCCTTTAAAAAACAATATTTTCCCACGAGTTTTTCAAATTTTTTTTTTTATACAGACCAACCTATATTTGGTT